ACTTAACTTACAGAAAGCATAGAACAAGAACACAACTTGTTCTTCTCGCTGTATGATTCGTCAAGTAATCCCGCACTCAACGATAGCTGCTGATCTCGACGATATGCATCTCTTGTCCTTCGTAACAAAGTCGCGGCCATTTAGTTATTGGCGGAATATAGACGTTCAGTTCACTGCTTAACAGCTCCTGGACTTAGATCGTGATGGAAATTGGGATATCAAAGATGGGCTTGCAAGTGACGGATAGTTTTATAAGTGAAACCACCTAATATTGTTAAGCTATTCATTGGATGGCGTTGGCTAGCGATTTCCTGGAAGCCAAGAATATGAAAAATTCTTGATCTTTCGGCTATTCCTGTGAAAGTTTCCAGAAAGGTGAAAATGTCCAGTGTGTAGTGTTCGTAGAAACATTTTCAAGAAATTGGCATTTTGCCCTTGCAACACTTAAATTTAGACAGATTTAACAGACTTGAGAAGTTGGTCCAATCCGCCAACTTCTTTGGCCTTGGAAAAGGCGATCCTTGGGTTCTGCGCTGTTACTACAAAGATATTCGATCACCGGATAGAGAACGTTAGATAAGAGGGCAACTGCAAGAAAGTTGTCATTATTTCCATCTATAAACGACGCTGATTACAGTGATTATAACTTCACTAATTGATTATAACTTCACTAATCTCAAGAGTTGCGGAAAATTAACTTTCATTAAGCCTTCTGACAGACAGGCAGAAAACATGTCTTCGAAAATTCATACAGAAAGCTAATGGGTAAAGAACAGTACGATAATCCAGCGACTGATGAGAAAAGGTGGGCCTAAAGATTCACTAGGAAATGTTCCATAATGGGGGCATCATTCATCACCACGGCTGAAAACAGCAGAATAAGAGGCAGCAATATACAGAGCTTATAGCAATACACAGAACAAAAACCCAAAAAATTAAGTTCTAAGATCATTTAATACTTTCGCAAGATTTACAGAAATTACTTGAATTCTATATACGGGTGAAAAGTTTTTCATGATCATCATAACCTTCAAAGGGTAGTGACCATAATGCCAATAATTTTACCTATGGTACTTTTGTTATATAATATCTCCTGCAGACAGATCCAGCTCGATCCGAAACGTCCGGATTTATGTTAATAAAATTTTTATGCCTGTTACAATCTATGAAGATCAAAATTGTCGCTTTCAAAGCTGTGCAGTATATCAGACTTTTAAACACTCTACAATATTATGGACTTAAATTTGTATTTCACAGAAAAACGTTTACAACTGTATATAAATTAAACGACTAATCCGGAGGATCCATCATCCTTGAATGCATTTTAAATTGATTCTTTTCATCGCTATACAGCGTAACGCTTGATTTTCAAGTAATACTCTTTGCGTTCGATTTAATGCCATATTCCAACTCGGACGCTTAAGTGAACTGTTTAGCCATTATTTAAGCGATCGTTCTGCGTGATATCAGTGCGAAGCTGGGAACACAGAGTAAAATTTATAAGTTCTTTAAATAATACGCCACCACTAGTTATAGGACAGCGAATGACTTGCAGAATGCTTGCTGGCTGTGTGATTTCCTTACAAATCCGATTGTAAGATCGCACATTACTCCGAAGATTCATCAAAAAGAAATTAATTTCTTCATGTTTGCACCATACTCATTAAGAGCACTCAAAATGTGTCCGGATGTAAGAAATGTTGAGAGTGAAGCGATAATCAGTTGGTACTAACTGATGTTAATAAGCTTCTATCCTTGATTGGCAGTCATAATTCTAACACAAAGTGTGAAGTGCGTCTACCAAAATTATCAGCGCCGATTATTTTGCCTACACATTCCATTTCGAAATTTCAGCAAATCAAACTTCATTGATCTCCTCCTGCATCATATGGCAGTTCACTTTCCAACCAACTCACGGTGTGCAGGACCTCTTTGCGCACCGGCTGCGCTTAGTGGCATAGAGTGAACAAGCCGGACGGGTGAAAACTTTATCCAACGATGGAGTGAATAACCTTAGGTTTTGTGAGTTCTCCTCGTAGCATGTTGCTGTTTTGTGGATTTGTTTAGTTAGTTGGCCGTCATATTAATTGGTGTATGTCATTGTTACTAAAGTCCACTGTTTCCAGGCGTTTGTTAATCTTGTTGTGTGACAGGCTCAATGTCACTTGTTTCGTGCCTTTATTGTAACTTATTCAATAGCTTTTCTGTTGCATATTTACTTATTCGTTAGGCCTCTGGTCAGAACGTTCAACTCACTGCCATATTTTTATTTACTTCAATTTTGATCTGTGATATAATTATACTAAGCGGCAATTTCATACTTGTTTAAGCCAACCTGGTTAAAGAATCTGACACCGATGGCACGAATAATATTGAGCTGCTTAACGAATCATTTCGCTTTAGTATCCATCATGAACTGCAAGAAGAATATATCCAGCAGCGTACGCGCTAATCATTTTCAAACGACTGTGTATCTTTGCACAAAACATGGATGAGCCCGAACAGAACATCTAGCAGTTGCAAAATGATTCATTCATGATTGGTTTAGAGGTTAAGCTATCCAAGGCAAAATGAACTCAAAAGAATCACCGTCATGAAGGATGCAACTGCGTAAATGGCGAAGACCTCATTAGCTATGCAAAACGTGTCTGTCAGGTGTACCGCTGAACTGTCAAGAGGGCACTATCAGCTGAAGAACTAAAGTGGCACTGATTGACTCATATCAATCATAATTATAATATTAATCATAATCACGTTAAACCATCAATATTCGACAGCGAGCTGTCCATGCAGGCGAAGAAACAACTGTTAGATTCAGTTATCTCACCAAGCATGATCTACTTTCCTCAATGGTGGTCTGTTAATAGAGCTGAAGAGAACAAAGAAAAAAGGAGATAATATGCCAGGTGTCCCTCGGGGATTACATTCTGTGTGAGCGAATTCGGCAGCAGACAAAAAAATTCGACCT